TATTTAAGGATGTGTAACTTATCCTTACATCATCCCATTATTCCTTATCTACCCCTCTGGATCCGATATACCTTTTCTGATCCTAAATGTAATTTATTGCATTTCGTGCATTTTTCATGTGATCGGTCACAGTATTCGGTATCACCATCCCGTCATCACGCATATAATTGGAGCTCCTAAATCGGCGAGTCTGGCACTAATCGAAGGTCGGCTTCATGTGACGATCGGACATCTTGCGATTTTGAACGATTTATCGTCTGTAGGTAAGTACTTCTTCTTCCCTTGAGTCTTTCCTTCAACTACTTTCTTTTACTAATTCCTTTCTTCTTTTCTTTATCGTTCTAACCGGGATCTTACTACGTCGAATCGGTGTCGGGACTCCTTTCGATTCGGTCTTCGGGTTACGGGTCACGTGACTACGTCGAACGATCAACGGCGGAATTAGCTTATTCTTTAGGGCGGACGGGTTCTATTTAACGATGGTCACTGGGGTCTTACAAGACAATACTTGTACTTTTACTAGCGTCGGGTAAGTAGTTTGTGCTTTGCAGTTTGTAGTTACTTTATTATTTGTTTATTAATTCTATCTAATCCTATCTAAAATCCGTCATCATACTAGTAATTCTAAAATAAACTTTACAAAAATCTGTCAAAATTGAACTTGCTAAAGATCAGCAATTTAACAGTGCTCATAATGTACTATTAACATACAAACTATTGCAAATATAAGCACTTTAATAGCATTTTCTTACTATATTTTAATTTTATAAATATATTTGTCAATTATTATGCTAATAAAATGCTAATATTAGTAACATATTATCAATATTTTAGTAATAATAAAGGCCTAAACATTACTATTATTTAACTAATTTATTAGATATTTAAAGGCGCTGATAATGAAATAATCTTGCAATAAATTGCTAACTTAGTACTAATAATGCACTATATATTGTGCAAATATTTGCATAACTCGAAATTATCAAATTTTTGTAAAAAAGCAAATATCAAACAACAATATAAAACCTTAAAAATATCTTGACACATCCACGCCTTTTCATTATGATAATAATCAACAGAAAGTTGGTTATGTGATGTAATTCCTTCATGGTAAAATGCCAATAGCATACGGGACTTGTTAATAACCAAAGGCTTGATTTTTTCAGTACCATCTGCATTAAATATGCAAACAACAGTAATTCTTGACTTTTTTTTTTTTACCCTTTCATGCAGATGTTAGAAGTGAAGTATTAGGTTTCATACAATAAAACAGACTACATTTATCTGCATTAAAAATGTCTCGCGGTTCATATAACTTTAAGAGATCTTTTAGCTCTTCACGAAATTGGGGCAAAAATTCTATCAGGACACTTTCTGCTTTTCCATGAATTCGATGGTTTCGGATTCTCATTCTAGCCTTGAATCATGAAAACCAACTATCAGATGCTTTAAAATCACTTTCTGGAACTCCTAACAATGCTGCAAACTCAAGAGCCTTCTGGTGAATTACTTCTCCTGTAAGAATAAGTTGCCTTTGCTCAGCAGTACCATTCTACATTCCAAGGGCTTGTTCAATCTGAGGAAATTTAGGACTGGTTGTTTTAAATGCATTTGCATTTTTGAAACTTCACTTATATCAGACCATTGTTTTTGCTTTAGGATCTTTGATACTATGCTTCGATTGCACTGAAATTCTGCAGCAATTTCCTCATCTTGTAGATTAGAATTTTCTTTTTTTTTTTTTAATTTTGTTTTTTTTGTATGGCCATAAGTCTGGTACGGCTTTTACTGATTAATTTTTTTTTTTTATCGTTAGGCATTGTAAAATTTTAATGAAAAAAAAAAAAAAAAAATACAGCCCAATGGTATAAAAAAAAAATGCGATTCTTATTGCTAAGTTTAATGAAAAAGTGACTATAATCGCTAAGTATTCAAGATATATTATTGTTACGTATTAAATACTCAATGGCAATGAAAAAAAAATAGCTTGCATATAGAATCTAACCAAAGTCAATTCGTATATCAATATAATTTAAAAGGCAAAATGATACAGTAATATAAAGTTAATTATAGTATATACATATATACTATAGTATATACATATATACTATAGTACACACAGTTGTATTGCATGTATGTACATATATATTTGTCTGTTCATTCATGTACATACGTACCATCATAACCATGTTAATCCTACCTTTACAATATAAGACATTCTTATATATCCTTAATAGCTTAACCCATGTGAATTTTTCTAGTTATGTATATACTCTTGCATAAACTTGATAGAAAGAATTGCCCATGGAAAGCATATATGAGTCAAAGTTAGAAGTGTAGATATTATAATTTTAGCGCAAACATCATAAGAAATGAATCCCTTTTTGTTTTAGAGAAGTTAGCATAATAATGACTTCTAAAAAATAGATAAATTTATGCTAAAATAAAAGATAATTTTGATTATTTTTAATAATTGAGTCCTAAAATCCTAATAGAACTTTCTATATACTTATTTTTATTAGTTTGTAGGTTTGATTTTTTTAAAATGTACTTTAAACTATATAAAAATATAAAATTAAATTGGTTAAACAGCCAATTATATAAATTCTTTCTATGGTACATGCAATGCTTTTTAAGGTTACATACTTTGAAGTGATTATAGTGAATGAAATTTATATAAGCATACTATATATCACATCTTAGATTTGGTGTGATAGTGACTATTATGAAATTTAATATTAGATGTGATAATTGCGGGCTAATTTTATTATAAAAAAATTATATCAATAAAATTAGGTGATTATAGTGCGATTGTGACAAAAACGGATGTGACTATTGCGGAAGTTGACTGTATTAGCTACTTGTACTTTTAATTTATTACTTAAAGAAGTAACAATTTATTTACTTTACTAAGTTACTATATTCTTTTTTTTTAATTTTATAAATACATATTTAAAATTCTTTAGAAACAAAAATCTAAGAATACTACTTTTTATAATTATATTAATAAATAACTTTATACTATAAACTGTATTAATACTTTTTTTTAAAATAATTTTTATAAGCAAAATTTATCTTTTTCTTAGTATTTAAATAAAATTATTTTTATTAAATTATCTTTTTTTTAATATTAAAATAAATACATGTAACTTGAAATTTTATTGACAATATATATTAACTAGCATCTGTTAATATAACAGATATAAAATCAATCATAAAAAGAATATATAACTAGCTAATTATATAACTTTAGTTATTGTCTAATTTAAATAGTTCACCTGAAGGTTTTATATTAGTTGCTATACCCTAAAACCTATTTGTAAATTTTTTATTTAAAACTTTGATTCTATATTTACTCTATTTTATAAATAAACTTAGCAAACTAGTAAAAATATACTATACTTACTAAGTTATACTTAACTTTATACTAAACTTATCAAAGTCTTCTGTATCTTATACTTACAACTAAAATAGTATTATTTTGGCCTAAACTAGCACTTGCAGTTGGTACTAATCATTAAACTGTTATATCTTTATAAGATTTACTCAAACTCCAATATCTATCTTTCTAATGTTTTCTTTATTATACTTTACTAATTGTAGCTAAAAACTAATAGAATTTCTTAAATTTTCAATTCAGATGACTTAGTATAATATATCTTAGTATTTTTTTCTTTAACAATTCTAGTATCTGGTTGATCATATGCTTCTCTATATATATTGTTATCTGGTTTATTCATCTATTTCTTTTTTTTTTTTGTGTTATAAGTGGCAATCTTGCCTGTCTGTCTTTTATTGAGTAATATCTAGTTATTAATGAATACATAGTTTATCAACGAAAGTATAACTAGCCACACATATAACTTTAATCATTATCTAATTAAGGGTTCCGCCCGAAGGTTACCCACTAGCTATCATACCTGAGATCCATCTGTGAATCCCCTATTTAAACTTTCTGATTTTCAATTCTATGCATTACAACCTTCCATTACTACATAGACATACCAGGTTAGGACTATCTAATTACTATTTATATCAAGATACCACCTCATTGGATATTACTAAGTATCCATAGTCCTTCGAATTACCCTCGACGCAAACTTACTAAGTATGGTACCAAGATTACCCTCCTTAGATTTTTATCTATGTTAGTGTATCCTGTATTCACTAAACCAGTTTTTGGTGCCAGAGGTGTTTGAGTTTCAGTAAGTCCATTCCTTTCCCATAGTTTCCTTTTATGTTCATTGTATCACTCGCTAGTGTGCCTTCTCTTTATTTCTGATATGTTCACTGCTTCTCTCACATCGAGCGCCAAATCTCCATATCGAGAAACTTCTTTCTGAGAACTTCCTTATATACCGATCTTCTATTCACATGGACTTAAGCCACAGGGCTTCATGTACATTCATATGCTTCTGTAGATTACAGAGTTTGCCTCTAGCTAGAATTGAACTGTCGACCTTGTCTGTGGAGGGAGAGGCACCTAGAACACTAGGCTACGGGACCTCATCCCTTATTCATCTATTTCTATTGAAAATGTTTTATAACTTTTATTAGTCTAATAGTATTATTAAAATTTGTAATACTTTCTTGCTTAGGATTTTCAAGTAAGTTTTTAACTTCTTGGTTTTTTATTTTTTGCATTCAGTAGTTTTATCATAGATTTGTATTAAAGTCTTATGCAATATTAGTTATACTATTTTTATATATATATATAATATTATATTTTTCATAAATGCTAAGCTTTTATTCAAAATAGTATAACTAAAAGTTACAAATATATCAATCCAATCAATTAACAAAGTCAGTTACTATAACATATATGTAATTTAAAATTTATTATTTATAAGATTTGAACTTTAAACTTGCTACTTGAAGATTAACAACCTAACTATTTTACTAGATTACCATATTTTTAAATTATTTTTCTTAACTGTTTTATAAGAAGATATATATAGTTTTTTAACAAAATTTACAAAACTATATTTTTTTTTAAATAGCATATTATTTGTAAAAATTTTTTATAATATATTATTACTATAATATAAAATTAAAAAGGTTTTTATCTATAATACTATTTTTAATTATATTTTCTAGTTTAAATATTAAATATACTAAAAACTTTGTTAAAAAAAACTTAACTAAAAATACAAATTTATTAAAAGTTTTATATTTTATTTTAGCATTTTATATACTTAGTTTATTAATAAACAATTTACTTTATATAAAACTAAAAGTATTATTTTTCTAAATCATATTATACTATTTTTCAACAATTTGATTTTTGAAATTATTAATAAAAAAATTATTAAAAAATTTTAATTTAATTAATATTTATTTAGAGATGAGGTTCTGTAGTCTAGTAGTCTAGACACCTTTTTTTCTACAGACAAGATTAACAGTTCAATTTTAGCTAGAGGCAAAATTCTGTAATCTATAAAAGCATATAAATATACACAAAGCTTTGTGACTTAAGTCTATATAAATAGAAGATTAGTATATAAAAAAGTTCCTAAAAAAAAGTTTTCTAATATAGAAAATTGATGCTTAATGTGAAAAAAATGATGAACATACCAAAAATAGAAAGAAGGCATACTAGTAGATAATACAATAAAAATAAAAAGAAAACTATAAAAAAGAAATAAACTTACTAAAATTTGAACATCTCTAATACCAAACTGGTTTAGTAGATACAGAATACACTAAAATAGATAAAATTTGGTAATTTTAATACTATATTTAGTAAATTTGTGTCAAGAGTAAAGTCAAAGAACTATAAATATTTAGTAATATACAATAAGGTATTACTTAGATATAAATAGTAATAAGATAGCCCCAACCTGTTCTGTTATAATAATAGTAATATATATTGCATATATATGCAATAAGTATTAAAAATTAAAAAGTTTAAAATAGAGAACTTACAGATAGGTTTTAGATATAGCATCTAGTAGGTAACTTATAGGTGGAACTCTTAATTAGATAATAACTAAAGTTATATATATAACTAGTTTTATTTTTATTGATATACTCTGTATATAATATATAATCTTATATTACTAATAATAAAAAGATACACAGGTAAAATCACTCTTAAAACTAAAAAAAAAAATAATATTTATTTATATAATTTTATTTTATTTTATTTAATTATTTTATATATTTTTATATTATTTAATTTACTAAGTACTTTTATTACTTTTTTTAAATTCTATATATTAAAATTTTACTTATTAATTTCTAATTTTTTTAATTTTTAGAATTTTTATTTTTATATATCTTATATTTTATTTATTTTATTTGTTATAATAAATTAAATTAATAGTTTTTTTTTCTTAAACAATCATACTAGTACTTTATTAGGATTTTAAAATTATAATTACAATTACATAAATATTCTTAACAATTAAGTTTAACATCACCCAGTCTTCTTACTAGTACTTAAATATAACCTGTTGCATTACTTCAAACAGAAGTAAGCTACTTGTCTAATTACTTAAAGTCTATAAAAAAGGGTCTTTTTCCTTCTATAACAAATTCCAAAATTGTTTTTTATATTTTTGTTCTGATTTGTTTTTCTTTTTCTCTTGTTTTTTTCTTTTTTTCTATTCTTTGCTGATTTGTCTTTTTCTTTTACTTGGTTTT